TAATGAGGGGAAAAGCTTGAGACCAACATCAGTTATTGAGGCTGTTTCCACTTGAGTGCTCATCGTGTATAAAATGTGTTATCTGCTCTCACTCCAGTCAGAGTCACTGATCTTTATGACAGGAATCACTCTGGAAAAAGACTGCAGAAAACTGGACTCCCTAGTGGATGATGATCCGTATGATCCATAAAACATATCTTTATTCTAGGACGTATAGAAAGACGTTTATGGTCTCACTCACTACTCTTAAATTCTATAGGTTTGTCTGTCTCTATAGCACATTTTTTTCTTATTCAGAGGAGATTACTTTACTTTTAACAATTTTATACCATGAGTGTCAAAACCTGCCTCACAGATTCATCTGCTTTTTATGATATTTGAAAACACAAAGTCAATACCTGTGTTGGACTGTACACTACTGTCATCAATTTGATTACAGATGATGGATCAATCTAAAAATAATCATTTGATGTTCAGTAAAGGCCCCTGCTGCGGAAAATACTGCTGATAATTCTCTGCAGGGTGAGGAAACTGCAACCTCAGTAGAACTGATTCAGGTCGTTTCAGCAGGATTTGGTGTAGAGTTGTATTCATTTGTCATACCTTGAACCCTCTGAGTCATTACAATGCAAGCTTGCAGGCAATGGTATAAAATATATAAAATATGTATGTTTAATCATTTATACTCTCATTAAACTTTCAGCATTTTTGTTTGCTGATGTTGCTCATTATCTGTTTTCTGAGCTTTTTCCAACTATTGCTGTCAACGTTTGACCAGGAATATTGCGGTATTTATGTATGGCTCTGCATTTATAAACAGGTAGGGGACTGGATTGAGAATAAAAGCATTTAGAAACCATCTAAACAGTATATACTTGTCATTTATGTATCACTATCCACTCATAGAAATATCCACTAAATGGCTCTCACCACAAGAATGACCAGCAATATAGAAAACAATATAGAAATCATATGACAATTATATGTTAAAATGACATTCATGATAAAGCTTTGAATTTTATATCTAATTAATGTCAGAAACTGTTTTGTAAGCACCTTTTGTAAACAGCTTACTACACCAGTGTCTGGCATTTTGCTGTGAGATTACTATGGTAATAGGGTCCATTAATGCAACAGTGTCACCAATAATAAGATTACTGTCATATAACAAAAGCCATATGGTCCTGCTACAGGTGCTATCCTTTTAGAGGGAAACAGTCAGCAAATTAGGAGAAGAGATGCTGAAATGGGTTTTTATACCTCACAAGGAGACTATTAATGAGATGACAAAGAGAGAACTCCTCAAGATATCCAAATACTCCTGAACCTTCACCTAAAGCTAAAGACACATCAGTGTAACTGTCATGTCTGAATGGAAAACAAAGCTCTGAGAGTCAGGCGTCATTCCTCATGTCAGGTTAGATAACTACATTACATCCATAGATAAGATGGTTTCAGAGTCAATGGAAATTCAAGTAGTTTAACTTGTAACTATGATTACACATATACTCTCCACTCCATCGTGTGTGACCTCATAGTGTAATAACAGATAGCAAACAAAATTTAGCTTGCAGGCAATTTAGAGGTAAGCCTCTCCCTGTGTCATTATATGCCGTTTATGACTTGGCCTATATAAATTGATTTTTTCCTCTTTTGACCTCAATGAGGAACATAATAGTGTTGTTTGACTGCAAATTTCATTAAAGCTTGGAAATAATCAGAAGAACAAGAAGAAGAAGAAGAAGAAATGGAAACTGCTGTATAGGACAGGCCATGAAATTATGAAAAAAGGATGAATTAAAAAGAGAAGATTTTATGTTTATGGAGAAAAAAAAGACTTGATGCTCCGATGTTACAAAAGTTACAAAACAGCCCTGAGGCCAAAACTGACAAAGACAAGAATATAGAAGGGTATTGCTGAAGTGTTGTAGTTCTGCTGGCAGAACATGACAGCATTAATGGTAAGAAGCCTTCATATTCCAGCAGCAGATGTTATATTAAATGCATTCATTCATCTTTCTTTAGTGCTAATGAAACCTACTCTCCCCTGGTTGACCTGACCTCTGACCTGCAGGACATCAAGCATAAAATAAATTCAACCCCCGTGGATTAATAGGGCCTCACAACACTTGCTGACTACAGTAAAAAATGATTAGTACAAACTCAAAGCCTGTTTCTGGTTTCATATTTTCATCTGCTGCTCAGATATATTTCCATTTTCCTCTTGCTCTCCATCTGGTTTTTGGCTCACTGCACCAATAACACGCTGCCCTGTAAAGGAAGATACACAGCTAGCTGGTTAATGAAAAATAACCTTAAACAGAGTGAATGAACATTAACACTAGTGGGGTCCCCTGTGTTATATTGTGCTTATTAAATGCTGCTGCCAGAGAATCCATCATGACATGACATATATTCATATAAAATAATACCAAAAGCTTTGCAGGACTGCAAACAACAAAATGATAGGCATCCATTGCTACAATAACAGCAGAACTGTAACCATAGCAACAAAAGCAAACCGAGCACTCAAACCATTAATCACCCAGGTCTTTGGCTCTTTGGATGAAATTAAAGTTAATATTGGACAAATTAAAAATTTCTACTTGACTTCTTGTGCTCACAGTGACATGACTGGAGGTGAACCAGAGACAGGTATGGGAATCAGAAATAAAGAAGTGAAGATTCAACAAAGCTGCAACACATCATAGCCCCTTGTATTTATAATATAATAAGAATAAAGAGAATGTGGAAGCAAGTAAAACAATTACTGACCACAGAAATAATTTAACATTGTTATGTAACTATTGCATCACCCAGCAACACGAAAAGCCCCCACGTTAAAGAGAATAGGTTGTCCACCTCTTGAGTGATGGAGGAAACCCTCTAAATAATGAGCTCAAACCATCATACAGATGGTAGCATCCGAGAATGCTGGTTACACCTTCACTGTCAACACCAGCCGAGTATGATGGAAGATGAAAACATGGCTCTCTCATATGTAAGACTCGTGAAGACATGAAAATGAATCTATAATTCTTTGAGCATGTGAGTACAGATTGGTTCAAAATCATTTGGAGGAGAAGAGAGGAAGAGATGGGCAGTAAAGAAAAAGAATGAGAGGAAATATAGGTAAAGAGAAAATGGTTATTGCAAATGACAATTTATGATGGAACAAGCAGTTATTGTAATCTGGGCACAATGCACTGGAAGCCTTTTAAGAGGTGGAGCACAATGCACGCATGAAATAGTTTTATGGTTTTATTACTGTCATACTGCAGACTACAATATATTTTTCTTCCATTTTCTTTTGCAGAAAGATTTGTTCCTAAGTTAACTCTGCAAGACTGAAATGTCTGCAAGAGTGGGGATTATGAGTTATTCTCACTATTATCTTTCATTTTGCACTTAGATAAAGACTTTGTAGCTTTATTGATGCACAGATGATCGTCAGTGTGTGTGTGTGTGTGTGTGTGTGTGTCTGTGTGTGTGTGTGCACCAAAGACAAACAGCACCAGCTGTGCAAGTCTCTGTGCAATTCAATTAGCTGTTGTAGTTCATGCAAATCAATATCGTGGACACATCTGCACACACACACACACACACACACACACACACACACACACACACCCACACACACACACACACACACACACACACACACACACACACACACACACTTTCTTTTACATACACACTCTCACGAGGACAGAAAAAGGAACTGAATTACAGCTGACAATCAAATTACTGAAAGTCCCTGTCAGCCTTGTTTTTGTGTATCCATCTAGTGATCACACCTACACACCAAGGTGGATAATAAGTTACATCTGGGACGTAAACCACACAGACTGTCTCACTAATTTAGATGAATTGAATTAATGCCCTGACAACTGCCCTTCAAGGCATTTAGCCGCTGCAACCTGAAGTCTGCTACTGATAAACTGGCTGGATGTGAGATTTGAGTTTGTGACTGGGATTAAATCATAGCTCCAGCAAGAGGCAGCTCTGTCTTTTCTCCCTTAAAACATTATAAAAATGCCCATGAGAAAGAAACTAAACAAATAAAGGGTAGTTGGTAGGCAACCTCAAGGCTGTTACAGAAAGTTAATAAAATATGTTCTTAAATGTTCTCTTGAGTAAAACGTACAAAAAAAATCTAATTTAACATGGTTGTGTGTTTTTGCCCAACGCAGGAAGAAAAAACTCTCAACTCAGCACCTGTAAGTGTGCTCTTGAGCCAGGCACTTAAAGGGTTTAAGCCTGGGTTTAAATGGCTGCTCAGAGACCACCAGGGGAAGGCAGTGGGCAGGCCAGACAGCTTCTTGATTGATGCTGGAACAAGAGTGCTCTTTCATAATATATAAAAGAGACACTGTACAAATGTGAGACATCTTAGCTACAGCTTACAGCCCTTTTACTGTGCAAAATCCACATCTCAACTGTGAAGGAGCCTGGAACACCCAAATATTATGTTCCCTTGTGTGAAATCTTGCTCTGATGTGTTGGACAGTAGAAGCCTCTCTCTCTCTCTCTCTCTCTCTCTCTCTCTCTCTCTCTCTCTCTCTCTCTACAGCAGGAGCGCAACAGTGAGAGTGCAGCGCAGCGCGTCCAGCTTGTCACTCTGGTGAAGTACGTCCTCTGACCCGCACAATCCAAACCTCTCCATAAAAGCATCTCACTGGGCACAATGTCTCCAAACACACGCACGGATTTCGTGGAAGGGACGTGTTCCTTTTGCGCGCCGTCTTAGCGCGTCTTCTGGTAGGAACGCGATGTCCTGGATGTATTTTTTTTTATCTCCGGCGATTGTAAAGTGGAGGGAGTAAAGCGCAGCTCGCAGAAACCATGTGGAGAGCGGCCACGTCCCTTGGTGGGAGCACCGGAGGCAGAAAGCCACACTGATAATAAAGCATTATTTGCGGTTTCTTGGAGAAAAAGATCCGTCGATGAGGAAACACAAAGAGACGAGATGGTAGAGAAGTAAGTGCATTAATAACTATTTGGCACTAGTGGCAACTAGTGATGAAAATAACATTACAGATATTCTGCATGACTTGTGTGCACCTTCAGAGAGTCATGATTTAGGCTGGGAAAAAAATCACCATATGTAGATACTAATGCTGCTGCTGTTTAATTGTGAATTTCTAGTGAATTGTGGCATCTTTTTCTGCCTGTTGGTATCACAATATTACTCCTATTTGAATTTTTATTATAAAAGTACAATATTTAGGATTTTCTCTGACAAAAACACATATTTAATCCTACAGAAATGTTCATGCAGTTATGTAATACTCCACATATAGTAAAACAAAAAACAAACTATAAAAATCACTTCAGTTGCTGTGGGTTTATTTCACATGGTTTCAGCTTACTATTGATTGAGTGATCCTCCCCATAAGTTGTTTACCATACAATACTGGCTATGAGGACCTCATGGGGTGGTTATGTAATTGCATTTACTGTAGCAAGCTGTTTGGCAAACGGGATTGTGACAAAGAGTGTTTAATTTTTAATGAGCTTCCATTCAGTGGTTGTATTTATTTGCATTATGGGACTCCATCAGTGTATTTTAGTTGTAATTCATGTAGGAAGACAGGTATACGCCTGTCCCACTGTTGCAATATTGTATATATGGGTATTAGACTAATGTTTAGGTTGTGATTATCACATGTATTTATTCGTATTACTCTAATTCCTGGTAGAAATCACGATTCTCTTTGTTAGATCCAGATCAGAAGAGAAGCTGTAAATACGTCCAGATATAACTGTAAATGATGGAAAATGACAGGTGGTAGGAAGCATGCTGCAGACAGTGCATTGAAAATGATCTATTGGATGAAATAAAAGAAAAAGAACAGTAAGGACACAGAAGCAGGTGCATTAGGTTCCCACTGTCAGATATTTCTGATGTACAGACAACCTGGAATTAATTGCACTAGAAATTGTTATTATAAGGAATATTTTGCACTAGTGTTTAGGTGTAGATTGGTTTAATGACTCTCCTGTATAGAGCTGGAACAATAAGTGGATTGATCAGTTAGACGTCTCAGAAAAACAATCAACAGCTTTTTTGATTAAGTAATTTTAAAGCAGAAATGTCATTCTCTGGTTCCAGCTTCTCCAATGTGAAGATTTGCTGCTTTTCTTTGTTTTCTATCATTACACACTGAATATATATATTTAATATTCTTATTTGTGATAAGATAGTACTTGTAAACTGTACTCTTTTCTGCACTTTATTCCCCAATGCTGCTGTGTGTTGAATTTCTCCTACGGGGGATTAATAAAGGTACATCTTATCTTAAGATGTTTAGGGCTGTTGGTTGGATTTTGTTGTTTTTCACTGTTTTCTGACATTATCAGCAAACAGTCTACAATCTACAATCACCTATTTGTGTCTATATCTAATAAATCTAATATATAGATAGAGATAGATCAGATCTTAGTGCTCAGGATGCATTGGTTACAGGCAACACTAACATAAGTATACCCAGGGTGAGTCTCTTGTAATGGCAAGAAATTGATCCACATTAATCACTCCCATCCTTTCAGTGGCCGCACCTGACCTTCTGGACCCGAAGTCTGCTGCCCACAACTCCAAACCTCGCCTCTCGTTCTCGGCCAAACCGGTGGTGCTGAACACCCCAGACTATGATGACGAGTGTGACACCCGGACTACAGTCATGAGGTGGAAAACTGTGTCAGCCATCTTCTTCTTGGTGGTGCTTTACCTCATTGTTGGGGCGACAGTGTTCAGGGCACTGGAGCAGCCTCATGAGAGTTCCCAAAAGCTGGCTATTCTTGCAGAAAAACTGGACTTCTTGGCCATGCACACCTGCGTAAACTCCTCTGAGCTGGAGGATTTGGTCAAGGTAGGTGGAAGCATCAACAACATGTTAATAATTCAAATCCTTCTGCAGGAACTGGAGATGACTGACAGAATGTATTAAAATATTTCACACTGTGTACAGATTTTCTATAAATACTGTGCTCTACACAGAGAGGAGGAGAGAGAACAATACATTCTAAGGTTAACAATGGTACTTGGAAGCTTTACGTTGTTTAACATTTGGTCTTGAGGATTGTGGCTATAGTGGGCAAAATGACTGTGAGGACTGCCAGAGCTTATATTTGAAGACACTTTTTTTAGCTGGTTGAGCTACTGAAAAACCAGTTAGTTTACACGCATTTATTCTGTGGCCCCTGTAGCTAATGTATGAACTGTGCAGTTGTATTGAAGAAAAAAAGAAATGAAAGTAAATGAATAAATATTGGATTGGATTCAGTATATGTAAATAATATTGAAGGATTAATGGAACAGTCACTTCATGCAAAGGTTCCAGTTTCGAGCTCCTGTGGATGTGCATTGCTGGCCCATTTGGTAAAATTAAAAAAATAAAGCAGACGAAATAAAACTAGTAATTTTTAATTACAAAAATGTCACATAAATGCACTATAAATATCAGTATTGAGTGAGTGGTGTTCTGATAAAGGCCATCGACTGATGGAATGACTTTTCCTTTATGGATTAGTGGATCTCAACCAGAGTTGATGAAAAGCATTTCCTCTTGGGGAATGTAGCTGGCATGTTGGACTTCTGGATGATGATTACTTCTCTAATGTGCCAGAATAGAAAGGTCCTTAAATCCTGGGGGAACACTGATTTGTCTACCGCTGATAATTTAGTTCCCTTTAATGATTGTTTGCAATTGTTTTGCATATTCTGCTCCCACAATCATTTTCCTGTAAATTAACAGTCAAGCTTGGATGTCAGATTTTTTTTATAAACAAAACTTTATGACTGTATACAGAGCTGCTATAGTTTCTCAGATAACGGGAGGGGTATCTCGTTATCACAACAACGCGTTTAATTATAATGGAAACTCTCCAAACGAAGGGGAGAAAGATCTCATTACAACAAACACCTTTTTTCATAATGACGACAAAATGTTTAAGACTACATATATTGTTGTCAGTGTATGACTATTTTAATGAAATAAAAGGGCGACCACATCCCCACATCACTTCCTTTTAGGACTAAAACACACAACGAAATTGCTGTTGTTAGCCGATGTGGCACTTAATGGGATTTTCATTAGTAAGCGGGTTGTTCTCTCTCCAGTAGAGACACTTTAATCACACTGACATTCAAGATGTTGCATTACGGCAGAGCATCAGCCATAAGTGAAGTTTCTGAGTCTCACGATGAAAAAGAACGCACTGAAACGAGCGAGCATTCGTGTTTCAATGCCATATACCTACTGGTAATTATGAGAGAACTATCCGGGTATATCGAGATACTGTGTAAATTACTTTTTCTCACTGTCTCACACTCTTGAGAGTGGTTCAAATGTAGTTCATTATTATTATCCAATTGGATATTTCCCTAGATGTGGAATAAGTATCATGTATTATTTATAAACTGTCATCTTCTGGGATTGATTTTAGAGATACAGTTGCTTGAGCAAGTATTTAAGTGCAATATTCAGTTTATTGCTGTTTACATGCTGTTGATTAAATATTTATCAATTGGATTTCCAGTCATTTTTTTTTGTTAATGTCAAAATTAAAGCTCTTCTACCATGTTAGCTCAGGAATAGTTTTTTCTGTGGGCGTTCAGTGAAATTTACTAAAATTTCAAAATGACTCCAGACATATTAAAACTGACCCGAGTTTACTAAGATTATTTAATAATCTTCAGTGCCCACCTTCTGTATGTAAATGAGACTGCGTTCAATTAAAAGGGGCTGGTGACAGATGGCGGTTATTTGGCTTTAAGATGCTGAGTTAATGTTCAGTGGTGGTGATGATGTTTTCTGTGCTGAGATCACTATCTATCAGATTGACTGTTAGATAATAATCTCTTGTCAGGAATCGATTTAATGAGTGTAGTAATGGAAGGCTTGTTTTTGTTTTAATGTCAGCCTGCTTCTCAGTCACATTAATGAACGTTGTGCATACATCCACGATTAGTTACGAGCTAAAATATGATGGCAAGACAGTGTGTGGAGGTAAAATGAATGGTGGAACAGGGTCGTAGCCTAGATTATTGTATTTTAACATCGGTCATAATGGTGGTACTTGATGAATCAAATATTTTTTTAGGTGGTACGTGGTGTAAAAAGTTTGAGAGACACTGGTATAGATCTGGAGCCAGATAGGAAAGTGTTGTGCTAATACGAGATCAACCTCAGTTGCTTTTAATGCTAGACACCAGAATTGTTAGTGTTGTCATTGTGAGGATGTAAGCACGCTGGGGTTAGCATTTAGCTCAAAGCGCTGCTGTGCTGAAGTCTCACAGAGCCATTGGCATGGCTTGCTAGAGAAAAATCTATGAATTATATATTCTAGCAATGATCAATCAATTTGTAACAATCCAAGTGGTGTTTCTGAATAAGGGAATGCCCTGCTGTAAAGTTGATGAACGAAGGTTACGGCCTGTAGTATTAGCCTGAGGGTGTTTTTCACCTTTGCTAAAGGCCATCTACTGTACTGTATGACCCCTAATATTAAATCTCCCTGTCAGGCTATTGTCTCAGTAAAGCTAGACATTAGGGCAAACTGTCCTCTGTCCTCAAAAATGTCTTTTCAGCCAATTGAATGTTCGTTTTCAGGCAAGTATGACTCTTATCACTGACCTTTCCACTGTCAGTCAAATCAGTCTGTTCTCATTTCCATTTACAAAAACCTAAATTCTCAGTATTGGACCAGAAACAAACTGCAAAATGAACTGAATTAATTATTGGCTCAAGATTTTAAGCTTGTGAAAACTGGGCAGTTTGCCTGAAGGGGGCATTTAAGAGAACTTTAATGCTTTCCTAATGCTGTCAGGCTAATTCTGAGCCAGTTTCTACACTAAGAAAAATCTTGCTGTCTTTGTGCTTCTACTAGACAGCAGTCTGACCAAACAGCTCTACCTATCATCCATCAGACAGTAGCCCCATGAGTTCAGCATCCTTTCAAGCATCTAGTTCTCTTCTGATGATTTATTGATAAACAGCTTCAATACAGGTGTCCCCCACTCACTTTTACTTAATTATGTATACACACACACACACACACACACACACACACACACACACACACACACACACACACACACACACACACACACCCATCTACCTCTGTAGGCTCCCACTGATCAAAAGCCAGTCAGGGGAGGATTGAGGGGAGTTGTGCTCTCAAAGGGAGTAATTAAAAAAGTGAGTGATGTCAAAAAGCTCAGACGATTCAATCTCTCCTGGCTGTTTGGCTCAGCTTGGAGACAGCTAGTGTGGTCTTCACATTATCCTGCCTTATCATTTCCCATGGCCATAGTTAGTATGCATATAACCGGGTGCCAAAACAGTGAATTAAAATGGTTTGGCTGGATAACAAAGGGGCTGACTGAGCCAAGCCTGTCTGATTGTGTGATTGGCTAAATTATGTTTTTTAGAGGCACAGTGAATGTAGGGTTTCACAATTATATCTTTTGAACCTCTCCTCTGTTGTATGTGGAAGTGATTAACGGTAGAATAGATAAAAACACTGAACTATTGATGTGTTCACCTTTGTGCATTAGTTTAATTTTGTCTGAATATATTTGTATCCTCTGCATGTGTGTAACCAAAGCTTGGTTAAAAATGCTTTTTGGTCATTTCATTATTTTTACACAAAAGCTAGCAGCTACTTTCACTTTCAATCGTCTCCCCCAAAAGTTTGATTTAAAAATGTCCACTTAGGAGCTGCCGGAAAGTTGTAACACTGTGTTAACATATTGCAGTTTTATCACTTTATAAAGTTGATATGATGAACTTCTTAGCAAACTGGTTGCTATTTACACATCCAGTACAGGCAGGGAAACATTAGCATTCATTTCGAGTCATGTCTGTGTCCACCTGATGAATGTTAGTCCAATACTTAGCTCTGTTTTTGGTCTCTCTGAACTCCTCAGGGAAATATCTGACTCCACTATTAGAAACTAAATGCTACTAAATGCTAGAAGAAATCATTAAACAGAAATCAATTTCAATACAGTGTAAACAAACCACAACATCCGTGAAAGAATTTGGATCTATGAAATCTAATTATCTACAATATTAAGTGCCTTGAAGAGGCTCTGCTAGACTGGTGGCAGTAATGATAGTAATATGCTGAAATGTACACCCATACTCTGAAAGAAAAAACTGAGAAGACTTCCTAACAGTACGATGTTAGATCAGTGAATATGTTGATGAGATTTGGGTGTGACGTCCACTCTGTGAGCCTCTGTAACCTGCACTTAGACAGAGTTTGTGCATCGTTGACGTTTATGTGTATCTCTGCAGAAGCATAATTCAAAATGTATTCTCACTTCCCGCTGAAGAAATAGCCGCTATGAAAACTATTGACTGTGAGGTCTTGCATAAGCACCATAACTGCTTTTATGGGGTGGAGGCTATCTCAAAACCACGGCAAATAAATCTCTGCATGGGTAGATACCACTAGACGTAGTATAACCCTATTGCCACACAAGAACATTAATATTGGATGATTTTGCAAAACCCTGGATAATGTTCAATGATGGAATGTTTTTACGTGAATACAAACATCCCTGTCTACAATATCTATGCATGTCAACTATGGTATAGTTAAAGTTAAGGAAAGATCCTGTTTATGATAAATAAAAAGATCCACAACCTCACTTTCCATGGCGTTACATGTAGGGCACAACATTTCCCGCACTGGCACTTAACATTTGCATATTTCAAGGTCTTTCAGAATCCCTCAATATGAAAGTAATTCCCAGGATACTGGGCCAAGGAGTTGAGAAAATGTGTTTTTTGTTTTTTTTTGTAATTTGAGCGAACCACTCCTTTAAGCTGTTGTGCCTTTGTGTTTGTTAGCTTGTGCAGATAAGCAACACACTGTTCCCTGCTACATTACTACAGTGTTCACTGCCGTCAGCCCATCTCTCGCTACCTTCTGACCCACTGTGTCACGTTTACTCATGTGTCGTTACATTAGTGCTCAGTTTCTAATCCATTATTCATCCGTTTCAGCTTTTACACACTTGATCTTTACAGCTTTATCACACGCAATAGTCGTAGGTTAATGAAAGCTCTCTCAGTTTCACTAAGGGTGATGAATTGGAGTAGACAACACCCTGACATTGCAGTGACCCACAACTGTGTGTGTGTGTGGATGTACAGTTTCAGAAAAAGCTGACAGTGCTAGTTCAGGAGGACTGTTGGCAGTGTTATGTGATGTGCGTCATTATTGTAGCATTACTGCTCTGTTCCTGAAGGTTTATTGATATTAAATACAAATCATGGAGATCATCAAAAAGAGCTACTCCCCCACTTGTACAAGTCTAACATTTATTAAGGTGAAGCACATACGAATCAGACCATTTTTATTGCTCTCGGTTGGAAAAAAAACCCACATATGCATAAGGGAATAAAAGCTTTGGTCCAATAAAGTATTCTTCTGCAATTTATTAGCACTGCCTCTGTAGCAGTGCTTGCTGATCCCTTAAGGTCTCAAATCTTTTCTTTTTCATTTGTCTCAGTAATGATTCTGTATCTTGAGAAGCCACTTGGCCAAAAACCTTTTGTCTTACTGCAGTGAACTGACAGTCACTTTTAAAAAACCTTTGGAGATCAGATTCATCCCAGAATCATGCCAAGAGGGTAGCGGACCTGCCAATCCACTAGAGGATACTGTGTCAGTGTCACATTTTGCCTCACCTAGAGATGGAAGGTACCCATGTGTATGAAGGTGCAGTATGAAAAGCTATAATGTCTGCATCTCCTAGGTGAGGCAAAATGAGATGCTGGTTGGTTGAAAACATTGTCTCTGGCACTACTTTTTCAAGGTTTCCAGCTGACTTGTTTTAAAACAAGAACCCTGTAAAGGGGGTCCAGGAGTATCCAAGAGTGGTTTCCACACAGTGGGGAAATACTACACACTTAGTGTTTATTGAACAGGGTTTTTTTTTAACATAACCTGTAACCCCACAAATAAATGGAGTCAGTTAATGATGTAGCCCTTGACTAGTAATGCTCAGTTACCACTGTAGGTAATAAGTTCTTTACAATTTTGCTCTTGTGTTTTTGGTTTTGAGAAAAGAGCACCATGGAGAAATCCATGGCTTGTGTTTAGTGCAGTTTATTACACACATTACATTACATAACATTACATTATTACATTCATATATATTTATACAGCCTATGGTACAAACTCTCTTTCAGTGTCTGCTGCTCAGGTCTATGTTTAGGTGATTGTGGGCGTGAGAAGCTGTGCAGTGGTGTGTTTCCCCTCCAGCTGGTGGCTTCATTCCCCTCTTGTCTCCTGTCATGAGAGCACAGCCCTGAGTGGGAAAACATGTTGCTGTTCTGTTTCCTGTACAGCCGACTGGTGTCTAAAGGGCTTTTCACACTCAGCTGAGACTCGAGTCACACTCAGAGTCACCTGGTAAAGACTAATCAGCACAATACTGACCCAGCTGTTATCACATCCTAGCCACAATGATGCTCCCCTTTTGATACCACTTAAAATAACCTTTTATTTATCACGAGAAAATCAACAAAAGGCTTAGAAGTTGTTATCCCCCACATCTTCAACAAGTGGAAAAGTCCATATCCCTTTAACACATTTTAATATGTGTTAAATGTTCGATCTGGGCTCTGCTACCTGAAGGATAAACAGTTTCTGCACAGATTTCATGCAAACAGGCTGGGTTATGACCATTGACAGTACATATGGTTATGACATGAATTTAAATGTTAGGAAGCACTGATAACAGCAATGTGTGTGGCCAAAGTAGTGGGTGTGGCTAAAGTGAATCTTTAAGATTTTGAGATTGTGAAATGAAGTCCCACATTGAATGGAAACGTGTAAAAGGTCCAAACAGATAAAATATGCAGATGTTAGCATTTGAGAATGTGTAAATAATTTGTAAATGAATGTTTGAATAACATTTATGCACAAATTATCTTAAATAATCTGAGATATAACTGACAGGCGTTGCTCTTTTATGCATAGTGCAGATATTTAAAATTTAAACCTTTTTCATGAATTTTATGAAGTCAGACAGATGCCACTCGTTGTTTCTCACAACTCTTAATTGGCTTTGGTTGGATGTTTATCTTGGCTGTCATCTATTCCCTGCAGAAAATTGATGCACACAGCTAATTTTCTTTTGTTCCTCAGCCCACCTCACACCACACTCCCACTGAGAGCATTATGCGCTAACCTCTTTTTCTCTTCTTCTTTCCGCTCCAGCAAGTGGTTTCAGCTGTCCGAGCAGGTGTGAACCCTTCAGGAAATTCATCCAATCAGTCGAGCCTCTGGGACATCAGTTCCTCCTTTTTCTTTGCTGGGACTGTTATCACGACTATCGGTAAGTGGTTTCTCTCTATTAAACTACTCACTGCTCATTCTTCTCTCCTTGTGGAGGCTTTTGGCAATACTTCACACAAGGTGAATGCAATGCTGTGAAAATGTAAAGACAATTACTGTTTTGTGATGTAGAAACATTTTTGGTTGAATGCTGGAAAGTGCTTTATAAGCACAGTGCATTCATCATTTTTCTTCATGCACTAAGCCAACAGAGGCAAAAGGCAATTTTTATGACCATTTTGGCATGAGATTGCACTTGCATAGAAAAATTACACTTGCTAACCTAAAACCTGCATCGGCTCTTTTTCCAGATTGTGCTTCATTGCACCAGAATTGCACTTTGACCACTGGTCACCAAAATTGCAAAAATTAGTAGGCCACATTCACTTAGATTGTAGCTCAAGTTTGCACTTGCAGAAAAACAGAGCCAACAAAACAAAAATGTTGTTTTCTAATAGTGATTTAACCGACTGTGTCAGATGGTTTGTTACACAGAACCATCTGGAAAGTCACTAGATCAGTTTGGAAAAGGGAAGGCACTTACAAAATAGTACGTGGCAGGTGACTGGATGAACCACCTGTCACCCGTAGGTTCTGAAGAGCCTCTGTGAAGCTCAGTTTGGTCGCCTCTAGCTGTCGTCGTCTTGGAAGTTCTGACTTCGCCTGTCTAGCAGCAAATTAAAAAATGGTGGAGTGTAGCAGGGGTGGAGCTGAGACAGGCTGAATGAAGTCTGGTTACTGAAAACAGCCGCCTGTGACAGCACCCACCTGTCAATCAAAATGGCAATGTCCTTAATTATGCATAAATTTAAGCCTTAATATAATCTAAACAGATACACCCCCCATAGCAAATAAATTAAGCTGTAATGACCAAAACCGTTTTCTACATCAGACTGTAAATGTGTTTATTTCTGCTGTAAAGTTGGCATTTTAATATGGGACCTTATAGACAGTGACTCACTTCTGTAGCCAGCCTCAAGTGACGTTCGAGGAACTGCGGTTTTTGTTAGCTTAATTTTACAGCTGTGGAGGTTGCCGCTTGGTTGTCACACACACCTAGTGTTAAAACCACCCCAGTAGCTCATGCTGTAGCTGCCAGCAGTTCCTCTCAGGATGCTGATTGGTCCAAACCACTGTGGTTTGGACAAAAGCACGTAGCTTGAAACTTGGCAAGATGGATTCCTGCATGATCTTGTGAGTCCAGCAGCTTTGAAAGGTTTCAAGTGATTCAGCATAAATTAGGTTTATGAGCTACAAAATAACTCCAAGTACACAAACCCAAAGGTGTATCGACCCGGTAAAAAAACATTGCTGAATTGAGTACAGCTTAGCTGGTTTATTACTTGTTTGTTTCAGTGTTTGGGCAGACTCTTTCACCAGCCTTGGAGCGTAAGATCTGTGTAACCCATGTGAAAATAATTTGCATAAATAATGTAATAAATATGTAGCCATGGTTGGATACTACACTCTTCTCTGCAATACACTTAAAATCCTATTAATTCACCACCACAAACATTAAGTCTGAAACTAACAAAATAATAATAGAAAGAAAACAATATATCAGAAAGTGTGTATAACGAAATGAAAGCTTGCTGTTCCTTCATGCAACACACATAAACAATTATCATTAAACCCATAGATTAACATAGAAATGTCTGGCAACATGTACTGACTTTTAGTGCATAGAGTCAATGGTACAGAGATGTGGTAATACTTTGATTTTCTAAAACTTGGTAACCGAACAAGAACTGTAGCCTACAGAGGTTAAAGGATTCTGAACTACATTAAAAGAACAGGATTTTTAAGGGCCCGTGCTCAGTTGCTTTTAGCTACTGTACTGTGTAATCAAGGAGCTGTCATCATGTAGCACATTCATACAGCCTAAGACTCTAACACACTTCCCTTTTCCATCATGTTTTTTCCATCATCAAGCTCTCTCTCTGTCACCTCCAGCTGTAAGAGCTTAGTAATAAGGAAAATGAAACAGCTCACACACACACACGCTCACACACAGCTAGTCTGACAGCTCATCTGGCTCTTCCAAGTGGACCTTGACAGATGGGTGCTTCTGTTCAGTGGGTTGTTGGGCTCCGTTTCACATCTCTCACATCCTGTCAGAGCTCATTCTCTGGTCAGTAAATGTAACACCTTGAGTTGAAATAAACTGATCTCGCTCAATGGTTGGCGAATTAGTGATTTTTACAGATTAATGGTCATGATGTGTAGGCAGAATGCAGTCTTGACGAATATTTCGGCATTGAATTGCACTTTTTTGCTAACCTAACCCTCCTCCTTTTCCAGATTTTGCTGCACTGCACCAGGCTTGTACCTCTGCTCACCAAAACTGCAAAAATCCATTGGCTACAGCAACAGCACACACATGCACACACACAGTCAGTCTTATCTGGCTCATCCAAGCAGACCTTAACACATCAGCTTGTCTGTTTGGTCATCTGTTCCACTTCACCTCTCCTGTAACCCGTCAAAGCTCATTCCCCAGTCAGAAAGTATTACAGTGTTGCAATAACTTGATTTTGCCCTCTGGTTGGAAAATGTGTGCTTTTAAATGAGATTAAAGGTACTCATGTGTAGGCAGAGCGTAAAAGCTGCACTGTGGGTTTTCCCTTTGCTCACTTTAGATTGAGTGTGTCGACTTTCTGTTTTTTACTCAGTTGCTGCAGTGATTTAGCAAAGTCAAGGCAGATTTACTGATGTTTGACTTGAAGGTGTAGTGGTGTTTTCTCATGAAAAGAGAAAAAGGGAGAGCTGTTTTGAGTGCATAGATTTTTTCTATTGGCTTTTTTTGAAAACTCATAGAACATAGAAAGGTTTGTGAAGTGAAGGAGCATCTCTTTTGGTATATAGAGTTTTATCAGCTTTGATTTTGCTGCAGAAACCTCACTCCCAGGTGGTGTTTTGTGCGTATTACCTACGATGCTTGTTAGTGTAAACAGCACATAATTACTGTGCTGTCTGTTGGCAATCATCATAATTTTGCCTGATTGGTACAAAATGTTGTGTTTCCATTGCTTCTATGCAAATTTCACAAAATCTGTTTTCTAAAGCCATTGTGTAAATTGAAAGATACAATAATAATTTCCATAAAGGAAAGCAATTCAGCAGGCGCAGCTGACATTACACTCTTTATTATATTCTTCTTGCTTTACTTGATTCAGTTAGAAGTGGCTGAGTAACATTTCAAACCCACAGATTGATTTGTTTATGAGGAGATCTTTAATTGGATGTGCCGTATTGAGGCAAAGAACCTTTCCCGCACTTATTTTCATCTATATACTTTATCCAGGGAATGAACTGAGATAACTCCTATATCTGTTGCCTCCTTTCTCGTCTCTCCCGGGAGTTAAAGAGGTGCACTAACGATTGATCTCACAGTTTTCTTTCCTGTGGGATTCCTTTGCTTAGTCTCTCCTACTGTTATATTCCTACTGATATTCACATTTCCCATGCTGTATAGATCAAAACAGATCTCATACGTAAAGGAAAAGGTCGTTATTATTCTTTTTGACAAACTTGTTTCCAGTGGAGCAGAGGGGTCCTTATTCCATAAAATATCAGTTTTATTTAATGTGATGTACTGTACCATGAAAAATGTCCTTTTCTTTACTCTGTGAAATCCATCCAGGGAAACATCCTAGATTTTCTATTTATAGGAAGTAAAGTTGAAAACAATGAGACAATGAGCTTACTTTAATACCACCTAAAACCCACCATGACAGGATTTCATTGCAGGCTTTTTTCACAATAAAAATGATCAAAAACCAACAAAACCAACACTGTGTCTTTACTCGGAGCTAATAAAGTTACTCATTTAAATGATGTGCTGCCATTTCCTCTCCAAGCATCACTTAATGAGTTAAGAACGAAGTCATTAAGCTTTTATTGTCCATTCATTCCTTGAAGAGACGGTACAGACGGGGACACGTTACTGCACATGATCATTACATAACGTTGTCTGCACTGTCATGAATTCAGTGATTTGTGACCCATACTGACAAATGGGTTTGTCCACTTCGAGGCTTTAAGTTTAATGTATAATTCATGCAGGCAATGTTGTAGTTAAGTGCGAATCTAATCAAACTTTTTAGTAAAATATATATAATCTAATAATCTCATCTAATAATAATGCTGAAATTCAGATTTTTTTATACATATGCATATAAATCGATGTTCTTCTCAATTTTTTACCTTTCTGGCAACTTAAAAATTCTAAACATGTCTGTTTAAAAATGCTTATATATTTTTATTAAGACTCATTTAGCTATATTTTTTATCCTTTTTGGATACAAAGACAGTTAATTGTCTCTGAATGCCACCATTTTATTCCAGTGTGTCACACTAACACTTTTCATGTCTGATACTGTGATAGCATTCAAAGGTGAGAACATAAATAATCTGTTTGATTCAGAAAAATAAAGTTAATGCAGCTTCAAATTTGAGAGCTGCAGCTCCTCATTTGTTCTGCAACAGAGGCACCCAGAGGTGTGAAAAATTAATCCAGCATCCTGTCTCCCATTGAACTAATCATGAAATTAGTGAGACTTGATTGACAATTTTTCTCACATTTGGTGTCACATTACTCCAACGTGGAACTGGAAAGTCATTAGAAGGCACCCTGCAGCTCCCATCCTGAGACAGATGAGTACATTAATAGAGAAAAGTGAGTGTAGTTCATTATGCAGACTCCTTATGAAACGTTAAATAATGAAATGTTGTTGAATGTGTGGAGTGAGTTTTACATGAGGCACAGGTCTTGAAGGTTTTTGTTTACCAGAATGTGGACTTCTATAAGCCCCTATCCATTTTCTAGCTGCACATGATGACGGAAAGAAGATGAAAGGCAGCGATCCAGTGATGGGCTCACATTTGTGTGTTTCTGTTTGTGTGTGTTTGCGAACATATGAAGGCCTTGATACAGTGTGTATATATATATATATATATATATTTGTATTATTATTTTTTGTTTCAGTTTTCAGTCAGGTCAGAGTTGTTTGAGGACACTGGGTGTGAATTATTAAATGTAGTCTGAGTCAGCTTTGCTTTTACACAACTTCTATCTTTGACTCATGAAGTTTCTCAAGGTTTTTCTGCTGCGTCTGTCTGCAGTGACGCTATAGGACAGTCAAGCTTGGTGGAAAGTTTTCTTGTGTGCGGTTATTTATTCAACTTGATTTGGTGAAAATACGATGCCTTATAATGAGATACAGAAGTGCAACAAATATAAAATATACACTGACAAGTAGTGGTAACATTCATTGCTTGTGCTACTAAAGTGCACAAGGACCACAATTCCCAGGACCGTCTTTCAACACTTAAAAAAAATACCAAAATTATATTCCTACAAAAAATGAATCCACAAGATCCTTATAGGCCAGGGGTGGCTTAACTAATAGCTCAGCATTAAGCACTACCATTTCAGCCAGCTACCTGACTGAAGCTAACCTTTGTGATAAAACACCAGCAAGGGCAGTTAACCATCCATACACTCAGTATACTATATATTATTGCACTTAATATATAACGTAACAAGCTGTCATCAATTCGAATCATGTTATCATCTCCTCTGCTCCACTGCTCCGTGTATGTGCAGGGCTAAGCCTCACCCTCGGTGAACAGTGATCAGAGCAGATGAGAGGACAGAAAGATCAACAGGAAAACGCAGTAAAGACTGTCACACTGAGGACAGGGGTGGGTGCTGGCTGTACGCAAGCTGCCACACACATACCTCGACAAGCTGCTCTTCTACAACAGCTTTACCTGTAAATGTAAATAAAGCTGTAGCTTCAGAACATAAAAATATCATTCACTTTACGATTGTTGTAAGTAACTTAAAGTCACACATAAAGCAAAATTACAGAAGGTAAATAGAATGAAAAGTGAATGAGGTAAAGCTTGTATTAGTGTTACATATGCAGTTCTTTAATAAAACAAGCACTCTACTGTTGAAAACACTGTCTGTTAAAACACAGAAAATCCCCTTTTTTATAGTAAAGTGTAAAAATGTACTCCAATAAAACAGTACCAGCACTTCACAGCATAACAATCTGTACCCTTTAAAGAACAGTCTCACAGGAATCTACAATGTCCTGTTCTGAACTAACTACACTACTACCCTACTAATGTATCATGTTGCAGCTAATTTACGCTGACATTTGACTTTATTAACTCTCTGCTTCTCCTTTCTGTCAGGATTTGGGAACATCTCTCCTCACACAGAAGGCGGGCGGATCTTCTGCATCATTTACGCTCTGCTGGGGATTCCCTTATTTGGATTCTTATTGGCTGGTGTCGGGGACCAGTTGGGGACCATTTTTGGGAAGGGCATCGCCAAAGTGGAGAAGATGATTGTGGTGAGTTCCTTTTGTTTAGATGAGCTTGTTTTTGTTTTAGTACCTCCCTGCGTGTTTACCTATGTGCAATGAGCCATTTTAATGTAGACAACACAGTCACATTTGACGACTTCATTACCCAGGCAATGCAAAGGTTGTAAAATTATATATTTCCTATAAAGAACTGCACTATGCAACATAAATATCCCTCAACACTAAACAAATGCAGGATTTTTTTTCTTTAGTTGTGAGTACCTGACTGTTTGGAAGAACTGGATGCAGTTTTATGGTTGCCATGTCAACAGACTCCTCGAAACCAATCTAAACCAACCAAATGCAGACCCTTTGTTTCAGTAATGAAAGCCCAGATCACTAAATAATACAGTTGTTTTAAAGCAATATATATATATATTTTTAAAGTTTTTGTGTTTTTGTTGAATTTTTTGCTGAACTCATTGGACTGTTGCCATCTTATTTCTGTGTTTCTGGCAGTGGAATAAACTAGCAGCACACACTGATCGATACATCACTCTGAAATAATGGTGCTAGGCTTGTTTACCACATTGCAAGTTACACATTGACTTCTGTCCGTATACAAGACCATACAGTTTGCACACATCTGTCTTAGGTGCAACACACGTCAGCATTCTGCCAATTAGAAGGCACCATTAGTCATTTTGTACATAGAGAATATAAATGGACTCTGCTGGGCAGTCTGGATGATGGTTAGTCATTAAGTTTTCCTTGGAAACTTAAAGAGTAGCCCTGAAAAAGCAGCTGCTCAGTACACCGGCCAATAAGGATGATAACAGAGACTCTGAAGGAGTTTCCTAAGTTACCTAAAACAGATCAAATTAGTTATTTTATCTTCTAAAAACTTTTTATTTTCCTTTTTTTTCTGTACCAGAACCATGCTTTTTATAAACCACTGTACACCATTAATCAAATGGACTGTGCAGCTATTTGATGACTTGCAATTACTTAATCATGACTCTGAACAAAGAAAAAGACTAGAAAACTATAGATGCAGTATAACAGACATTTAATAGAATACATTTATAAATAATAGTTTGGGGACCAGTACACGCATGAAAAAGATGTGCTTTTCTTTTAAAGTTATATGAAAAATGTGCCATTCTTTAAATGATGGAGAGGATGTTGAGGGGGGTGTATGACATAATTGCATCATTACGCAAAAGTTACAGTAATGTCCGAGTCAGCAGAATGCAATTTGAAAACGACCACCTGAGTTTCTGTATATTGTCTTATTTAAAGGAGAAGAAAATACCAAATGAGTGTGGTGTATGATGAAGAAAAATAGCTGATGCTAGCACTTACACATCATTTTTCATTATGTGAGAAATAAATTAGGTGGTGAGTAGCTGTTAACATCCATGTTTCCAGTCAGTCTGGCTGTCAGAGGACTGCGATTGGAGCCACGTACAGTATGTTGGCTGAGGAGTCATACGAATCAGCTAATATGACCCAGTGTCAGGATGGGACTGGAAATCCTTTTTCCATAGTGATTTGAAGCAGTTCAGACTGCTGGCGGGAGGTGTTGTTGGCAAGTATTACCAATTATATTATAATACTTGCACTGGAGTCCCCAATGACTGACATACTGCAGTCAAAGCTGACATTTTAGGAAAACAAATGAAATTAATTAATTAACATTGTTTCCTAATTATGTTGATAAAAACATACCCTGACTGGCCTTTTGTTTTTCTATTTGTTGTTGCAAATAGCTGTTATATAAACATAATTTCTAGAAACTGTGTTGCGGAGAGACACCTGAATATACAGTAGATAGGCTGAGATATGCCCCACAGTAAAATAAAGATCCCAAAATCATTATATTTTTCTACCAGAGCTCATTTTCATACATGTAGGATAATCTTTTGTATCTGGTGTTTGCAATTTGTACATAATTTGTAGGGGTGAAAAAGGTAATGCCAATAAAAGTCCACTATAACAGATTTCTATATAGGAGGCTCCATTTTCAGTATAAACGCACAAATAGCAATTTACTCAAGAATCCAGATACTCGGCAGCAACAGGTTAATTATGACTTTGAATCATTGCTGGCTCTTCCCTCCTGAGGGAGGAGAGAGGTTGGCAGCTGGCCCGAACAATGGAAATAAATGGACTGTAGCAGCTGCTGAAGTAGCTGTTGTGCAGTGTAGATGCTGGTTGAGAAGCCACCTCAGCCTCACTAGTCCCTAATTTAGCTTGTAGGTCTCTTTAAACTGTACACTACTGTAGTGTACTTTGTCCAGCTCAGCAAGGACATTAAACATCACAGGCTCAGTGATGTGATGTCTGGCTGCTCTTTATGCCTCCCCTCAGAGGCTCTCTGCTTTGGGCTTACATAACTGCAAGGGAAAAAGGCCACGATACACAGGGAACCAGCTGAAAGCAGTCACGTCAAGTGCTAAGGCAGCAGAGAAAACTGCAGCATGCAGAATGGACTCTAATGAACTGTAACTGTGATGCAAAAGAGGGACTGCAGGGCTCACGTCAAATTCAAATCCTCATAGCTTCAGCTGATCGCACAGAATGTAATTGCAGCGAGCCCATTAGTATATCTGCTACAATGTTATGTGAAATATTTGATAAGTCACCGTATTACAGCACATGTGAGGCACGTCAAGTGATTTGCCACCTCTCCCCAGCTCAGGGGGGTGGGCCATCTGACAGCGAAAGTTATGTCACATGAGCTTGACAGCCTGACGTTTGAGATGTTAGAAAACAGCAAATGTATTCCTAGAAGGAGGTCGAAGGAAGTGAGTCATCACAATGTGAAGAAAAAAAAAAAAGCCTGTGGGAAATCAGGGAGTAGGAAATAGGCAGAATGTTTTCAAGTGTTAATTTCCTTCACAATCGTTTGAGCAAAGGTCTTGGGCTACAAGAAATCACTTATACATGTGTACTAGACAAAAAAAATTTACGTCGGCCAATTAACAAATTATAATACATCATTAATCACCACTGTTTGCATTCATAGCCTTTGCGCTCCTCAGTTTTATAAACAGATTGTGTTTTTTCTTTTAAGCCTTTTCCCTCTCATTCCCACTGGTTTCATTAAAAAGTTAGTTTTTTTATGTGGAAATGATTTAATATTTGTCTCAACAATTCTTTTATCTCCCCACAGAAGTGGAAAGTCAGCCAGACGAAGATCCGTGTCTTCTCCACGCTGCTCTTCATCCTGTTCGGGTGCCTCATTTTCGTGGCCCTGCCAGCTGTCATCTTCAAGCACATCGAAGGCTGGAGCACGCTCGAGTCCATCTACTTTGTCGTCATCACCCTCACCACGATCGGCTTTGGAGACTTTGTTGCTGGCGAAAAAGGTCACTTGATTTTCTGTTTGATTTATTGGCCGTCTTTCATTTTTATGTCTGACGCCCAGTTTAGAATCAGTGTATTTATAGTTGAGTTATTCCTCAGCCAGTCTGACTCAACAGATGTGCACCACAGCGATAAGCCTCCCATTGGCCTGCTATTATACTCTGTGCTTCACAATATATGATTCTGACAGTGCATCTGAATCCTTGCAATATGTTTTTATAGCTCCCATCTGTTAAACCAGAATCTATACAAAAAACACAAACACATTACAACTGACATGTTATTAAACAATCATAATGAATAAATGATTCACTGCAATTCATACTTTAATGAATATGAATTACAGACATAAATGCTCTGCAATGTGTATGCCCATTTCTGCAGCATACTCATTTATCAGAGCCAGTGAAAATGAAACATGTCACCACCCATGACTTTTAAAGGAATAGTTTGACATTTTGGATATTCTGCTGAGAATTAGAAGAGAAGTTTTTTATTTCTGTACTGTGTATGTACTGAAGCTGGAGGCAGCAGCTGGTTGGCTTAGCTTAGCATAAAGACTAAAAACAAACCTATAAGATTCACTAATTAACAGTATACATGTTGTTTTTATACCATGGTCTGGGTGCATACTCAATTCTGAGTGGGTGCAGACGGGGACACGTTACTGCACATGATCATTACATAACGTTGTCTGTACTGTCATTTATGCCTGATGGGTGTCCATTAATGCCTGATGTAGAACACCTACTAAATAGTTTCAGTGAAACAGTCTGGTTACTGTTCAAAGGTAATGCGCTGAAATAGCTAGCTAAATATCTCATAAATATAATTCACAACACTGAGTGTCATTCTTCAGTGTCTCTGAACACTGCAGGATGGGGACTGTAACACACAAGCCCCTACACTGCCCCTCTGAACTCACTGATACTTTCTATAAGCGATCTTCCACACATCCTGTCCACTATTCAACTCGTTACATCAGGATGCAGTTGTGGCCTCCACGTCATCCATTAATTCATGATAATGGACACTTCATTGAGCATTATACCTTACGTATACCCTGCACAAAATCAGAAGTAAAAAGAATTTGCCATTTTACTTTTCCTATTTCTTGACTGGCAGTTGTTGCCAGGCAACCAGCAGACTTGGATTTTAGGCTTTTGGGGTTATTTTCTTACTGGAGACTATTAACGATATATAACATGTCAGTTAGTGGGCTGGGAGGCTGGTTGACGGATTTAGCTATCTTTGACAGAGCCAGCCTTGCTGTTACCCCCTGTTTTCAGACTTCATGCAATGCTAAGCTAACCAACTGCTGGCAATAGGTTCATATTGGTCGTATCGATCCTCTCATCTACTGTAAGCATACTTCCCAAGATGTCATACTATTTAATAACTGATCCTTTGGCCTATGACATGGTTTTTTATCGATGTACAGTATTTTAAGTCATACATTTTAGTCATAAAATCCTTAATGAGAGAGATTATGAAATATCTAAATTACTTTCACACATTAGAGAGTGAGCATGTGTGCATCTCTAAGTGTGAGTGTGTGTGTGTGTGTGTGTGTGTGTGTGTGTGTGTGTGTGTGTGTGTGTGTAAGCAGGTGGTATTAGCTTGATTTGACCTGCTTGACAGACAAAAAGGGAGAGGCAGATGTGAAAAATCACAAACACTTAGCTGCTAGATTAAACTTCCCTGAGTAGGCCTAATGATTATAGATTAGATTACACCACCTGTGCCAGGAGTTACACTAAACTAATTAGCCTGGATGGCTGTTAGTTAAACTGGTGCTGTAATGGGTGAATATCTAACTGCTCAGTGGGCTACGCTGCATCATACCAGTCCATTTATTGAGGGTTCATTCAAACACACAGCTGATGGTGGGATCCAAAATTAAATGTACTGGAGGTAATGTTTGTACGTGGATAGGACTGGAGTAAGTCCATGCTGCTGATGTAATCGGTCTATACATAATATAGACAGGTATGTATCAATTTCAAATGAGACCCATTTTGTATTGTTTACAGGAATTTATCTCTCAAAATGAATTAAAACTCCCTTTTAAAAAAATTTTATTTTTTTTTTTTTTTTTTTTTTTTTTTTATTCATCAAAAAATAAAAAAAATAAAAAAAGAAAGGCAAAAAGGGAAACTTACCTAACTGACTGCATCACTAAAATGAAAATGAATAAACTGCTTGCGTTTGTTTCTCCTTTCAGAATGATTCAGTTTGGTAATGTCATCCAGGATCACTGGATAACACACTTGTGTAACTGACTTCTTGTGTCTTTGGTTCTGTAGGTGGGTCTGCAGGTGGGTCAGAAAGTCCAGAGTATCTGGACTACTACAAGCCTGTGGTGTGGTTCTGGATCCTGGTGGGCCTGGCGTACTTTGCTGCTGTGCTCAGCATGATTGGAGACTGGTTCCGGGTCATCTCCAAAAAAACTAAAGAGGAGGTACAGTATGTGCTGATGTGCTACGAGTTATGTCACACTAGAGCTGTGGGAGATAAGAAACCTCTCCCTGTTAAAGGAGGGAAAACTGGATTTCCTTGGAGGTTTTTCTCAAAAAGGTTGGAGAGGATGTTGGGAGACAAGGATCGCCTGCTAGCTCTTCATGTTCACCTGCTGAAGCCCATTACAACACCTTTAATTTGATTTTTTATATTGATCAAGATCCAGCTGTCCAGATAAACCTCAATTTCCCTCAGGGCCAAATATATTTTAGTCCAGAATCATTGTTCCTAAGTAGAATGAGTCACGAAATGTGTCGCTGCCAGTGACTAACAGAATAAAGACTTTTAAGGGACTCAAAGTCTCACAGACTGATGAACCAAGCTTGTGGGACTGCTCCAACTGCCATAATGCTTAAGATAAAAGGTAAACTTAAAAATACATAACAACATAATCTTCAAAAGCCAAGTGAAACATGAGACTGGGTGCACATTTATAATCCAGCCTTATCTTCAAGGAGAATGAAAGAAGAAAGCTTGAGAGAGAATTTCAAATCTTTGCTTACTTTCTCACCTTTGTATACTGTACTGTTGTGTAAATGATCTGTTTCAACAAGTTACAAAAGGTGGTTTTAGAATATCGTTCCCTATATCCTAGTAGTCGCCTACAAGAGACAGATAATCTGTGAATAAAATCAGGTTCATGTGGCTCCTCCTAGTGCTCCTAATGCCATTTGCATTTGAATCCACATGGGCTGAACAAAACAACCAATCAGTGCCAAGAAAGACAGAAAGACGTGTTGGATTGGTGGCTTGAAAATAGTTGATGTTAGAGTCCCATTCCCTGTGTTGGTATTTGACAACCTGGGAATTAGACTTATTTTTATAAAAATTACGCACTGGAGCTTTAAAGTAACACTATAGACTGCCAAATAGTTTGCATTATGAATGTGACATGACAAATACTAGTGTAACTCTAACTGCATTAGACCACTTCAAGCTGCTGCCGCTTCACATTGAACCCTACGTGCCTCTGCGCCAGCCTAACTAGCCACAAATATAATATTGCAGGTGGAGGGACATTTGCAGTAAGTTCACAGGTGTCACATCCCTCTCCCCTCATAGTGACAGAGTTATATCTCACAGTATTTTCCAATTCACTCTTCAAGTCATAAATCTGAAGTGATGACTCTCCATCCCGGCTGCGCCCTGTGGAGAAAATACCATCTCGTACAAGAGTTGGATTAAATATTTGTTGTGCTGCTGCTGAGTAATAAAATACCTTGTTGCTCTGGCAGTTTCATTATTTACATGTAAAAATAATGGAGCGAACCAGCACTTCCACATACAGACACACTGTCCTGCATAAACCATCTAGATTCATATATATTTTCTTTATTCCATATAACATAACAAAATGGAGGGGGGGTGTATATGGGGAGGGAATCCTTGCACAGGCATAATGAGGAGTAGAGCTGTGGAGACTGTGAGCTCCACAGAGAAATACATTTCTGAGAGAGGTGGTTGCGGTGGGAGGTTGGGGAGGGGGGAGGCAGAGAAAGTGAGAAGAAGGAGGAGAAAGCACGTACTGAAGTGTTTGTGCTCGTGTGTGTGTGTGTGTCTACTGTGCTCACACATACACACCCTATACATTTTTACTTAAGCGCACAGAAGGCAGCTTTAAACAATCACACCTCCAAGCCTAATGAATAATTAAACAGCCTGGAGAAAGCCTAATGGATTATTATGGTGAGATCAATGATGTGTTTGTTCGGCTCTCTCCGTTTCTTCTTAAGGACCATAAACTGTGTCCACCAAATACAGTGTATGTTCCCCAGAAACCTGGGCCATTAGATCACACGCTGCTCACACAAAGGACATTACTTTTTATTGCTGCAGTAAAGTATAATAAATAAACCTCAACAGTGATGGGTAAGGTGTGAACATGTCTACACCTTGTCACATCTGTACATCTCTCAACAGCAATAGCTGGCCACAATTATGTACATCAAAGTGGAAATCAGAACGCAGATTTATTTCTGCGGTGCCCTTGTAGCTCACCTAGTAGAGCGAGTGGACTCGTAGCGGCAAGGGTTTGAATCCAATCTGCGGAACTTCCTTTCCTGTCAGGCTTTAGCTGTCACTATCATAAAAAGCCAATAAAAGCCCCAAAAAGTTCTTTTTCTTTGTGGACTTGACTTTTTAAAGAAACGTGGTTCTTATCATCTGGTGATATAAGATATATGCATTACTGTAAATTGAACTACCCAATAGCATATAAAGTAGTTCAAATCACACAGCAACATCAGTAAAATGCAACATGCACATTAATGCAACAGTCATATTAATCCAAAAACGTCATATAGTACATAGTAAAACACAGACAGGGACCATTTTTATACTCACACTTTTAGAGGTTGGTTTGTCCCTCTGGGCCACTGTAGAAACATGGCGGTTCATCATGGCAGACTCCATTGAAGGTGACCTTTTTCTTTCAAGTGTAGTAATAATACTGTTACTTAAGTAAAGGAACGGAATAATTCTTTGACCACTGTCCAATTTTTAAAAATGTTTAAAGCTCATATTTTTCCGGTAAATATACAGCTAGCAGCCAGTTAGTGTAGTTTAGCAAAAATACTGAAACAGGGAATGTCTGTCTCTGTTCAAAGGGAAAACAATCTGCCTCCTCTAAAGCTCACTAATCAACATATTATATTTTGTTTATCCAGATATCCGGATATAATGTTTTTAATAAGTGCTGGTAGGCTAAGTTTGTTAACATTGGATAGAGCCAGGCCAGCTGTTTTGCCCAGACAGATACAACACAGGTATCTTCTCATCTAACTCTCAGCAACCAAGCAAAAGCGAATAAGTATATTTCCCAAAGTCCCAAAAAAATCATTCCTTTTTGTTATTGACTGAACATATGTGATACCCAACATATTCTCCACAGTGTAGTTATTAAAGTCTATTTTTTAAACCTCCACATTTGCAGTCACACTCTATAACAGATGAACATTTACTGCAAATAATAGATGAAGGCTTTAGCGTTCATTCGTGGGCATTGCTAATTGGAGAGCAACCAAGACGTGAAAGAACACTCAAGGCAAGAGCTCTTAAACAGTTGTCTGAACAGATTAATGGACATGGCATTTATGTTCACCAGAGTGAACTCCATTAATTATTGGTGAGCTGTTCACATTTAGGTGGTCAGTTATATTAACCTATTCTGTCTGACAACAATGAATACCTTTCAAAATAGCCATTGGGGTTTTGAATGATTGATGAATCATTAATTAACCATTACAAACAGACAAAAAATACCAGCACTGCCATTCCATTTCCAATTTTAAAGGACCATACCAGTGTTTTATAACTGCATATTTATATGCTTTACATTACATTTTCACCAGTGTGTTTCTTTGTTATGCATGCTAACAAGAAAACATTAAACAAACAGTGGTTAAGCTTCAGAAAATGTCTAACTACATGTGTAAATGCAGAAAATGTAGAGGAGCAGGTTGTGCTTGTTTTCCTTCAGGCATCAATCTTCAGTTTGTCTCTGCAGGTCGGGGAGTTTCGGGCTCACGCAGCTGAGTGGACAGCAAATGTGTCAGCTGAGTTCAAAGAGACCCGGCGGCGGCTCAGCGTTGACATCTATGACAAGTTCCAGCGTGCTGCATCCATCAAGCGCAAGCTGTCATCCGAGCTGGGTATTAACACAGCCATCAACCAGGAAATGACCCCTGGCAAGAGGACGCTGTCGGCCAACCTGTATGAGGACAGAGAGGCTTACCCCAACTTAACTCTCTCCCTCAGTCCTGTCACGGGGGCCCTGTCCAGGAATGGTAGTCTCTATCTGAACGGCCTCAGCCCAGACTACGCTGACAGGCGGGAGTTCGCCATCATCGAAAATCTAAAATGAGCGTGAAAATTAGATTTGGGGAGCTGATTGAAACACAACTGGTAGTGGACAGAGCTTACAAACACATACACACTTTTGTGCTTATTGACTGAACATCTGTGACAAGGTACCCATGTGCATTCATGAAGTGGATTGTGTTTCAATCATTAATTGAAAACCTTTAGAGTGACTTCAACACAGGTCAATGTGTCAAGCTCCGTACAGTCATATGCGTGTCTAATGCTCACACAAGAACTTAAAGTGTGTGTACTCAAAGGTTCCATTTATTCTATAAAGAATCTGACTTCCTTTCATTATGTCTGTGCCAACATGATCGAAAGCTGTGCTAGTGATTGAGCCAAATCAGGAGCATGCTCCAGACTGGAACTATTGATTGTATCATAGGCATGAGTTTAACAAACTAATCTCATAAGCAGGAAGGAAATGAAAGCCCATATTGAGGTAGCAACACACTGGACATCTTCTCACATACCCACACAAAACCCTGTAAACACACAGAAATTAATACATTCATCAAATTTAGAAGCAATAGAAGTGTCTCTGCTCATCTCTTGTTGAATTTCCAGAGGCCCTGAAATCTGCATCAGATAAAGAGGATCCTCACAGCTTAAAACACTCCATAATCAACAACGGACACTGGTTCCTGACGAAGCAGCAAACACAAAGGAATGTGGATTTTTTTTTTAGTTTACACTTCTTCCAGTATGAATTTATATGGCTAGCATTTGCTGGCTGGTCTGCCCTTGCTATAGAGACGAATGTTGACATTTTTGCTCCTCCATGAGTGACGTTTAGCTTTTCACCCTAAGGAATAATCCACTTGTGCCTTACTAAAAAACCACACTGAACATGTGAGGATGGTGATGCATGAAAGACCCAGAAGCACTTTGTCTGTCCGTTCATACTTGTTGTATATGAGCACAGTTGTAATAAAGACATATATATATATATATATAGGAGGTATCTTGAAAAAAACTGTATGAAGAAGAGCAAATGGAAAGAGAGTAGATGGACATCCTTTTAACTAATATTATCTAACCAATTTTTAAGAGGAATCTACCTAATGCAGGAAACTGAGTGGAGGAACAGTTTCTTCAGATAAGATTAGCAATTGGGAAAGTGTTACCTTTCTGTCCGCCAGTGTGAATTAGCCATTTACTACCAGTCTTAAAGAGCTGAGATAGTTACATTAACCACACAGTGCCAGGCCCACTGATCAGACACTATTCTCCCCGATACCAAAGTAATGATCCTGTTTTTCTGACTGAGGAATCAGAGAGGTATCCAGTCTGATCAAAGGATTAGGAGTGCTGTCCTGCAGGTTTCTAGATATTGAAAACACTGTTGTGTTTTTTTCATGAGAATTGAACATAGAGCTTGGTGCATAAATATAGTCTTTTTTTTTTTTTTATCCAACTGGAGAATAAATCCCCGGCATGTATGGTACTGTAGCAATGAAAGCTCTGTGGGTGTGAAGAGCATACAGTATATTTTCCTTATTGCTTTTCATAATGTTGCAGCTCTCATCACTACCATCAGATTTAAAGTTAAAGGGAATATTTCCTCAGCTGATAAAGATGATGTCTTTTATGTCTTGTCAATAATGAATGTACACCATCAGAAACCTCTATTTAGTGTTTCACTGCAGCGACTAAATTATCAAGATTTTAGAGATCTGTGATTTGCATCACACTGAAATAGAAGCATCAAATTAAATAAAGGCCTCCCTGCGGCTGATTTGATGTAGATTGAAGATTATGAAGATAGGAATGTCATGTGGGACAGCTGATATTTCACTTATTCTCTTGCATTGCTTGAATATACATTTTGATTTCACATTTTAAGCAGGAACATTTTTAAATTCAGGATACTTTTGCAAGGATGAGAATGGGTTGGTTTTGATGACATTACACAAGGATATTTTAGGTTCTGGTGTCTCCCACTTGAATGGTTTGGATTGTGTGTCTTATTTTATGGTGTTATTCAGTGCTTTTATCCAGCGAGATATGCTGTAATCTTCTAAATACATTTGATAGTGCTATTTACAGTTTGTAGCATTAAAATACATTTACAATACAGTGTGACTTACAAGACATTATGCCATATGTGGCAAACCATGTCTGCTATACCAAATGTCTATAATTTATGGGTAATCAGTAGAAAAGATTAAGTTTTGTTTTAAAATGACTGGATTTGTACAGTACATTTGACAACTTGACATCCTGTATGATTTGAATCTTTAACTGAAAGGTAGGAACTGGTTGCACAAGCCTGTTTAAGTCATTAGGTGGAGATTTATACTGTACATCATTAAAATATAAATACAAAGTTAAACAAACTCACCCTTACATAGTCTGAACAAACTAACAGAACTTGCTAATATATCACCCATTTACGATGAAGACTTAAAGAGGTACTATGATCAGTGCATCTGACCCTACACTTAGCAGCCTATTGATGATTTTAAATTACATTTCACGAAAATAGCACAATGTACCTCAAATTAAAAACTATGCTAGTAGTTTGACTAAATAACGAAATAATAGAATAGCATAATGTGATATTTCCCCACTGATTCTAAATTGCATGAATATGCTACTGATTCAAAAACAAATATCTTCCTGCATGCATATATATAATACCTACATTTACAAAGATTTTTGGGCAGAGACCATTACAGATGTATCAACCGACTTTAACTGAAGTCTTAACTAAGATATTCCAAATCAAGTGTGAAACCACTTAGCAGTTACTAGGAAATTAAATATTTTACACACAAACTTGGCAGTAAGTTGACAAATAGCTGGCACAACTCACTCTAGGACAGTATTAGTAGTTTGCTCACTTTTTCCTGTTCTGAATTTCCTGGTTTTCTTGAAAGTGTGCACACTGATTTGTGCAGAGCCTGACTGACTGTACTGTACGGCTGTCATGTGTAATCAAGTCAACGAGGAGTCATAAAGAGGTTGGAAGGATAGGAGTCTTTCTTTAACACATGGTTGGGTTTCTAAAAATACCCTTATGTTCTTATTCTTGTGTTTATAAAAAGCAATCAATAGCATCAAAACACTTACTGTATGTTGTACTGACTTGCAATACACTGAAAGAAAGACTACTAGTACATTAGTGCTGAGTTGCCTGGGGGAAAGCAATCCAAGTCTCAGTGCATCTGCTCAAAGCAAAGCCCCCAAAGGCGTCCTATTGCTTTTTCCCAGTCAGTCGTGTGATTGACAGCCACTGAGGAGAGCTGTCAGTACTGAAGAAAGTCAAGGAGTGCTGTCGAAGGAGCATTATGTAATATGTCAGGCCATCCAAGGCCACATGTGAGGATACATGTGCATGAGTTCACAGTAAGTGTGAATGGATATGTGAATGTGTGTGTGCGTTGAGGTTTGAGAAAATTCATTTAATTTCCACCCACAAAAGCATTTTCACATGGCATCTTCTTTTCCCAAGGTGATAGTTTTTAATTAAGTCTGTGGCTGCATAAAAATCCCAGTTCAAGCATGTTGAATGTATCTTTCCATTCATGACGGCAGAGATGAGCCTCATTATGAATGTAAGCACACGATTTAACATTGTGATTTATGTATGAAAAGAAGTTAAATTAGCTCAGTGGGTATGCTGTGAAAACAACTACAGACTTTTTAAAGCCAGCTGCCCTTGATTATTAATAAAAAATACAATGCTATGAAAACATGATTATGTACCAATCATAGTCATAATGATCATAACAGTAGATAACAGTCTTAACATGCAGTTTCAGAAAATATAAATATTCATAATGAAAATGTGCATCAGTGACATACAAGATCAATTTTTCATAAACCACAACTTTGGTTTGGATTTGGTCAACTCCTTAAAATGTATGCATGAAAATGTTCTAAATGAGACCCGTTATGTGAAAGCGAACTGAATTAGCTTATTCTGTATTTTTTTAATTCCCAATGAGCCCACCTGTACAACTTTGCCAATAAAAACATGGGGGGGTACACACACGCACATTTTAAAAAATCAACATGGTCTAAACCAAGTGTTGCATGCAACTTTAAATGTTACTTCCAGATGTTTATAGATAAGATGTGTCTATAATCACAGGCTTTGCTTTGATTTTAATAACAGTATGGCAACAATGTGTTTCCAGTATGTTAATATGTTAATGTGGGTATGTCACCTCAACTCATGACAAACTTTTCAGAAGGTTTAGAATAAAATATTTTATAAGCAGAAAAACACTGGTCACTGTTTTCTTTCCGCTCTTTAAGCTGCTTATTAAATTAAAGGATATGTTTGGAGTAATTCTATATTTTTGTTATTTTGTACAAATCACATGGAAGGACCAAAAAAATCTGTTAGTCTCACAAAAGCCTGTGGCACTCAGCCCAGACCCCCGCAGGGTTTACTACTGAAGATATGTTTTTAATTGGCTTACAAATGCGTAGCCTTAGTTTTATTAAAGCTATTTCCCCAAACAGCTGGGCACTGTAGTTTTTATTAAATGTTACTGAAACAAGATTAAAATAGTGCATTTGTTGGGGAATATTTTCTGTTTGGTCTTTCCGTGGAGTTTGATTACAATACGAAAGCTGTAAAATATCACCAGCCTTATCCTATAAGGATTGCTCCTAAAAAAACATTAGTGTGTCTGGACTAAAATGTACAAAAAATACTGCTTTCATAATATGTTTTATAACCAGTTTTGTTTTGTACTAGCATTTGGCATTCCTACGCTGTAGTGTTTCCAGTTAATTATCTTGTGAGTTTCCACACAAGACCATTATTTTTCATAAAGAATTATACAGCACAGATGAACAACCTGCAGCCGGCTGCTCTGTGCTGCTCAATAATAAAGGACACAATAATGTGTTATCACATGCACAATGACAGAAACTGCCTGATAATGGATCAGGGATGACAAACTGATCTGAGTCACAAGTTACAAACTGTCCCTCATGGCTCACGAGCACAGCAAGCATTGAGAAGTCTGCCACTCATGAGTCGCTAAGTTGACACCTTCACTTAATTTGAATATCTTTACCTCATTGGTTTTGTTTTGAAGATTTCTCTTTGTGCTCTTTGTGCAATAGGACAGATAGGTCTGTTCTCTACTATGCTGTGTACAAAATAAAGGAATACAACATTCGATATGCATCATAAAGACAAAATCCACTCTGATCAGGGTCTGTGACGGTTTTCTTTAATGCGAACTGACAGATTACTTAATGACTCCAAAGATAGAGAGTGACATTGCTCGTCACCTTCAAGCCTCTGCCCTGTCACCAGACGGACAGGACCATAAGCACATTCTCAGATGCTGCATGACACTGAGAGGACACGACCCACGACTCTGTGCCCTTCAAATGGGAGTGATTCATTGCTGAGATGATGGCAGACTGGCTTAGACACAAAAAACAACATATTTGAGCTCTTTGTTGGCACAGGATAGGTGAATTCTGAGTGTTTTAACATGCAGAATCTGCAGGAATTTGTTTTTGGTAGAACTGTTTTTTAAAGGTTGTATTGTAAGCAGTTTGAAAATATAGCAGGGAGTTGACTGTACTATCCATAACTGCATTAGTGAGCCCATGCAGTCACTCAAAGCACTCAAACGGCTGCTTGAGATTAACTGAGATGCAAAGAGGGAGCATTTGGTATCCTGCAGACAGGCGACCACAGAGGCAGCCCCGTTGGAGATTGGTGGGTTCATTAGCGATTCTGTCTGCGGTGACATCAGAGAAAAGTGATGACTCAGCCACCAACCCCTACCGTCTCGAGCTGGAGAGGTACATGGTGAGAGCGGCAGTTACCTCACACATTGAGAGAGAGCTGGAATTGTGTGTGGGTGGGTTGTGTGTGTGTGTGTGTGTGTGTGTGTGTGTGTGTGTGTGTGTGTGTGTGTGTGTGTGTGAAATTAGTTTGTGTGACAGGTCTTTGCAGACTGTCTGGTTCCAC